GGGTACATGAGGAGTTCTGTAGTAGTTTTAACATCTCCTTTTATGGACATCCGGTGGGGGGGTGTAGTTCGGGTACTTGGGAGTTCTGTAGATTTTAAAAATTTCCTTTTATGGGCATCACGTGTGGGGGGTGGATTCTGGATATAGTGAGGGGTTCGTATAGTTTTTAAAATCTCCTTTTATGGGCATCCGTGTGGGGGTGGAGTTCTGGGTAAAAGGGGGGTTCTGTAGTAGTTTTTAAAAAATTTCCTTATATGGGGACCGTGTGGGAGGGGGTTTTGGAACTAGTGAGGAGTTCTGTATAGTTTTAAATCTCCTTATATGGGCATCACGGGGGGGGAGGGGTAGTCGATACTAGTGAGGAGTTCTGTAGTAGTTTTAACATTTCCTTATAGTGGGCATCACGTGTGGGGAGGGTGGTAGTTCTGGATACTAGTGAGGAGTTCTGTAGTAGTTTTTAACATCTCCTATTGGGCATCACGGTGTGGGGGAGGTGGTAGTTCTGGATACTAGTGAGGAGTTCTGTAGTAGTTTTAACATCTCCTTATATGGGCATCACGTGTGGGGAGGTGGTAGTTCTGGATACTAGTGAGGGAGTTCTGTAGTAGTTTTAACATCTCCTTATATGGGCATCACGTGTGGGGAGGTGTAGTTCTGGATACTAGTGAGGAGTTCTGTAGTAGTTTTAACATCTCCTTATATGGGCATCACGTGTGGGGGAGGTGGTAGTTCTGGATACTAGTGAGGAGTTCTGTAGTAGTTTTAACATCTCCTTATTGGGCATCACGTGTGGGGAGGTGGTAGTTCTGGATACTAGTGAGGAGTTCTGTAGTAGTTTTAACATCTCCTTATATGGGCATCACGTGTGGGGAGGTGGTAGTTCTGGAAATATGAGGAGTTCGTAGTAGTTTTAACATCCCTTTTATGGGGATCACGTGTGGGAGGGGGTAGTTTTGGAACTAGTGGGGTTCGTATAGTATTTTTTAAAACTCCTTTTTGGGCATCACTGTGGGAGGGGGTTTTCTGGATACTAGTGGGGGAATTCGTAGTTTTTTTAACATCTCCTTATATGGGGATCACGTTGGGGAGGTGGGGAGTTCTGGATACTGTGAGGATTCTGATATTTTAACATCTCCCCTTAGTGGGGATCACGTGTGGGAGGTGGGATTCTGGATACTAGTGAAGAGTTCGTAGTAGTTTTTAAAATTTTTCCCTTTTAGGGGATCACGTGGGGGGAGGTGGTAGTTCTGGATACATGAGGGGTTCTGTAGTAGTTTTAACTCTCCTTTTATGGGGATCACGTGTGGGGGTGGTAGTTCTGGATCTAGTGGGAGTTCTGTATATTTTTAAAATCTCCTTATATGGGGCATCACGTTGGGGAGGTGGTAGTTCTGGATACTAGTGAGGAGTTCTGTAGTAGTTTTAACATCTCCTTATATGGGCATCACGTGTGGGGAGGTGGTAGTTCTGGATACTAGTGAGGAGTTCTGTAGTAGTTTTAACATCTTCCTTATATGGGCATCACGTGGGGGGAGGTGGTAGTTCTGGATACTAGTGAGGAGTTCTGTAGTAGTTTTAACATTTCCTTATATGGGCATCACGTGGGGGGAGGTGGTAGTTCTGGATACTAGTGAGGAGTTCTGTAGTAGTTTTAACATCTCCTTATATGGGCATCACGTGTGGGGAGGTGTAGTTCTGGATACTAGTGAGGAGTTCTGTAGTAGTTTTAACATCTCCTTATATGGGCATCACGTGTGGGGAGTGGTAGTTCTGGATACTAGTGAGGAGTTCTGTAGTAGTTTTAACATCTCCTTATATGGGCATCACGTGTGGGGAGGTGGTAGTTCTGGATACTAGTGAGGAGTTCTGTAGTAGTTTTAACATCTCCTTATATGGGCATCACGTGTGGGGAGGTGGTAGTTCTGGATACTAGTGAGGAGTTCTGTAGTAGTTTTAACATCTCCTTATATGGGCCATCACGTGTGGGGAGGTGGTAGTTCTGGATACTAGGGAGAGTTCTGTAGTAGTTTTAACATTCTCCTTATATGGGCATCACGTGGGGGAGGTGGTAGTTTCTGGATACTAGTGAGGATTTCTGTAGTAGTTTTAACATCTCCTTATATGGGCAATCACGTGTGGGAGGTGGTAGTTCTGGATTCTAGTGAGGAGTTCTGTAGTAGTTTTAACATCTCCTTATATGGGCATCACGTGTGGGGGAGGTGGTAGTTCTGGATACTAGTGAGGAGTTCTGTAGTAGTTTTAAACATCTCCTTATATGGGCATCACGTGTGGGGAGGTGGTAGTTTCGGGATACTAGTGAGGGAGTTCTGTAGTAGTTTAACATCTCCTTTATGGGCATCACGTGTGGGGAGGTGGTAGTTCTGGATACTAGTGAGGAGTTATGTAGTAGTTTTAACATCTCCTTATATGGACATCACGTGTGGGGAGGTGGTAGTTCTGGATACTAGTGAGGAGTTCTGTAGTAGTTTTAACATCTCCTTATATGGGCATCACGTGTGGGGAGATGGTATGTTCCTGTTGCAGGTAAAGCTGGGTAGAGGTGTTTTCGCGAGACCCAACATGGTAGCAGAGGTTACTATTGTTACTACGGTTACTGTGGTTACTACGGTTACTGTGGTTACTACGGTTACTACGGTTACTAAATATGTTCCTGTTGCAGGTATTTCAAGTGTGAGCTTGGTAGAGGTGTTTTCGCGAGACCCAACATGGTAGCTTTCTACAAAGTTGAGAAAAACACCGCCTCAATGTGGACACTCAGTAGAGCTGTGGTGAGTGCTGACTTGACACGTGACAGTGCTGGCTTAACACGTGACAGTGTTGGCTTAACACGTGACAGTGTTGGCTTAACACGTGACAGTGCTGGCTTAACACGTGACAGTGCTGGCTTAACACGTGACAGTGTTGGCTTAACACGTGACAGTGCTGGCTTAACACGTGACAGTGCTGGCTTGACACGTGACAGTGCTGGCTTAACACGTGACAGTGTTGGCTTAACACGTGACAGTGCTGGCTTAACACGTGACAGTGTTGGCTTAACACGTGACAGTGCTGGCTTAACACGTGACAGTGCTGGCTTAACACGTGACAGTGCTGGCTTGACACGTGACAGTGTTGGCTTGACACGTGACAGTGTTGGCTTGACACGTGACAGTCGTTAATTCCTGTCACGTATCAGAGCTAGAGAGGGAGCCTAGTTCTAATGTACCGTCACAATAGTGACTTTAATATACAGTATCCAGGTTTATTTTAATAGCTGAAAAACAATAAACAAACAAAAAGAGGTAAATTAAAATGAAGTGTTGGTTTTACTCGGTTTCCTGATCCGTGATTAATAGCCTGAGGTCCCCAGGTAATTATTATGCAATTGTTATTGTTATTGTTATTGTTATTGTACCCAAGGTACTGATACAGAGACTTGTGAGAAACTACCGCGCTAGGAAAAAGGCAGAGAAGATAAAAAACGCTCCCAAAGAGCTCCAGTAAGTTCTCATTATTATTTATTACTGCTTCTATATAGTATAGTGCTACTAGTACGAACTGAGCCATTAGTGAGACGCAGAATAAGCATGATTTCCTTGTGTCTTGTTGTTGACAGTCCTGTCCAATTCCTACAAGTATTACACTAGTAGTAAGACTACACATGATCCCAGGGATATAGATATGCACGCAATCAACGCTCCTACTGAGGCTACAGAGTCATTACAGATGTTAGCTAAGTACCTAACCAGCAAGTTCTCTGATGAAGGCCACAAGGCAAGGGCTATCTACAGGTATTTGGTTACTTCGTGAATATGTTCATTGTAATATACTTCAACATCTTTAGAAAGGAAATGAGTGATGTGGACCATTCTACTGAGTGTGAATCATATACTCACATCATCCATTACCTGCGCAAACCAACCTCATAAACACAATCAACACCAACTAATGTAAACACCACATCCCAAATGAATCAACACCAACTTATGTAAACACCACATCCCAAATGAATCAACACCAACTAATGTAAACACCACATCCCAAATGAATCAACACTAATTAATGTAAACACCACATCCCAAATGAATCAACACCAACTAATGTAAACACCACATCCCAAATGAATCAACACCAACTAATGTAAACACCACATCCCAAATGAATCAACACCAACTAATGTAAGCACCACATCCCAAATGAATCAACACTAATTAATGTAAACACCACATCCCAAATGAATCAACACCAACTAATGTAAGCACCACATCCCAAATGAATCAACACCAACTAATGTAAGCACCACATCCCAAATGAATCAACACCAACTAATGTAAACACCACATCCCAAATGAATCAACACCAACTAATGTAAACACCACATCCCAGATGGATAACGGAGAATATAAGCTATGCAGTAGCGGACTACCTAGCTATGCGGTACCCAGATGTAACGGCAGAGGGGACCCTAGCTAACCGTACCAGTGTGTGTGCAGGGTACGCTAACCTCTTCAAGGCGCTGTGTGATGCTGCTGGGGTTAAAGCTGTATATGTGAGTAGCAGGCTTTAAGTGATACAAGATACAAGGCTAGGTCACTCCCGGTGATACAAGCTACAAGGCTAGGTCACTCCCGGTGATACAAGCTACAAGGCTAGGTCACTCCCGGTGATACAAGCTACAATGCTAGGTCACTCCCGGTGATACAAGATACATGGCTAGGTCACTCCCGGTGATACAAGATACAAGGCTAGGTCACTCCCGGTGATACAAGATACAAGGCTAGGTCACTCCCGGTGATACAAGCTACAAGGCTAGGTCACTCCCGGTGATACAAGCTACAATGCTAGGTCACTCCCGGTGATACAAGATACATGGCTAGGTCACTCCCGGTGATACAAGATACAAGGCTAGGTCACTCCCGGTGATACAAGATACAAGGCTAGGTCACTCCCGGTGATACAAGATACAAGGCTAGGTCACTCCCGGTGATACAAGATACAAGGCTAGGTCACTCCCGGTGTTGGGATACAAGATACAAGGCTAGGTCACTCCCGGTGATACAAGATACAAGGCTAGGTCACTCCCGGTGATACAAGATACAAGGCTAGGTCACTCCCGGTGATACAAGATACAAGGCTAGGTCGCTCTCGGTGATACAAGATACAAGGCTAGGTCACTCCCAGTGATACAAGATACAAGGCTAGGTCGCTCCCAGTGATACAAGATACAAGGCTAGGTCACTCCCGGTGATACAAGATACAAGGCTAGGTCGCTCCCGGTGATACAAGATACAAGGCTAGGTCACTCCCGGTGATACAAGGTACAAGGCTAGGTCACTCCCGGTGATACAAGATACAAGGCTAGGTCACTCCCGGTGATACAAGATACAAGGCTAGGTCACTCCCGGTGATACAAGATACAAGGCTAGGTCACTCCCGGTGATACAAGATACAAGGCTAGGTCGCTCCCGGTGATACAAGATACAAGGCTAGGTCACTCCCGGTGATACAAGGTACAAGGCTAGGTCACTCCCGGTGATACAAGATACAAGGCTAGGTCACTCCCGGTGATACAAGATACAAGGCTAGGTCACTCCCGGTGATACAAGATACAAGGCTAGGTCACTCCCGGTGTTGGGATACAAGATACAAGGCTAGGTCACTCCCGGTGATACAAGATATAATGTTAGGTCACTCCCGGTGTTGGGATACAAGATACAAGCTAGGTCACTCCCGGTGATACAAGGTACAAGGCTAGGTCACTCCCGGTGATACAAGATACAATGTTAGGTCACTCCCGGTGATACAAGGTACAAGGCTAGGTCACTCCCGGTGATACAAGATACAAGGCTAGGTCACTCCCGGTGATACAAGGTACAAGGCTAGGTCACTCCCGGTGATACAAGGTACAAGGCTAGGTCACTCCCGGTGATACAAGATACAAGGCTAGGTCACTCCCGGTGATACAAGGTACAAGGCTAGGTCACTCCCGGTGATACAAGATACAAGGCTAGGTCACTCCCGGTGATACAAGATACAAGGCTAGGTCACTCCTGGTGATACAAGGTACAAGGCTAGGTCACTCCCGGTGATACAAGATACAAGGCTAGGTCACTCCCGGTGATACAAGATACAAGGCTAGGTCACTCCCGGTGATACAAGCTACAAGGCTAGGTCGCTCCCGGTGATACAAGCTACAAGGCTAGGTCGCTCCCGGTGATACAAGGTACAAGGCTAGGTCACTCCCGGTGATACAAGATACAAGGCTAGGTCACTCCCGGTGATACAAGATACAAGGCTAGGTCACTCCCGGTGATACAAGATACAAGGCTAGGTCACTCCTGGTGATACAAGGTACAAGGCTAGGTCACTCCTGGTGATACAAGGTACAAGGCTAGGTCACTCCCGGTGATACAAGATACAAGGCTAGGTCGCTCCCGGTGATACAAGATACAAGGCTAGGTCACTCCTGGTGATACAAGATACAAGGCTAGGTCGCTCCCGGTGATACAAGATACAAGGTTAGGTCACTCCCGGTGATACAAGATACAAGGCTAGGTCACTCCCGGTGATACAAGATACAAGGCTAGGTCACTCCCGGTGATACAAGATACAAGGCTAGGTCACTCCTGGTGATACAAGGTACAAGGCTAGGTCACTCCTGGTGATACAAGGTACAAGGCTAGGTCACTCCCGGTGATACAAGATACAAGGCTAGGTCACTCCCGGTGATACAAGATACAAGGCTAGGTCACTCCTGGTGATACAAGGTACAAGGCTAGGTCACTCCTGGTGATACAAGGTACAAGGCTAGGTCACTCCCGGTGATACAAGATACAAGGCTAGGTCGCTCCCGGTGATACAAGATACAAGGCTAGGTCACTCCTGGTGATACAAGATACAAGGCTAGGTCGCTCCCGGTGATACAAGATACAAGGTTAGGTCACTCCCGGTGATACAAGATACAAGGCTAGGTCACTCCCGGTGATACAAGATACAAGGCTAGGTCACTCCCGGTGATACAAGGTACAAGGCTAGGTCACTCCCGGTGATACAAGATACAAGGCTAGGTCACTCCCGGTGATACAAGATACAAGGCTAGGTCACTCCCGGTGATACAAGATACAAGGCTAGGTCACTCCCGGTGATACAAGATACAAGGCTAGGTCACTCCCGGTGATACAAGATACAATGTTAGGTCACTCCCGGTGTTGGGATACAAGATACAAGGCTAGGTCACTCCCGGTGTTGGGATGGCCTGAGGTGCTTATCTCCTTTTCATTAACCCTAAGCCACTCTGTGCCGAGGCACTATACTAGCTGTAGGGGGGTTAGTCCTACGAGCCAGAGAGTGTGTATCACCAGCCGAAGCTGTACCAAATCACAGTTTGATAACTGGCCGACTTGCATCCGACCGGATTTGAATCCGGCCCTTCTGCTTGGGAGGCGATCGTGTAACAACTTAACCACCCGGCCGAAAAGTTTTGAGTATAATTTTGAGTATAATTTCTCTGTAATCATCTGAGACAATATGAGTTTGCAATTTTCCAGCTAAATCGTGTCATATGCCACCTATAGTTGACTTACTAATTGGTTGCAGCTGAAAAAATCAGCCAAAACTGTAAAATTTCGGTCCTGGAAATTTCATCTTCAAAAACTGAAAATGGGACAGACATTGGGACAATATGTTTCTGCAATTTTATTCGGGATTTTGACTCCCAATACCTCAATTTGGTTTCATACTATCATCAATTAACTTACTAAATGGTTTCTGGGCCAAAATTTCATCCAATCTGTCAAATGAGTGTTCAGAAAATTTCATATTTGAAAATGGGACAAACTTTTGAAAAAACTTTTCGTTTTGTTAAGCTATCTGCTGTGGGCTTCCTCCGACCCAAATCAAACTTCCAGCACCTCAATCGTGTCATATGCCACCTATAGCTGACTTACTAATTGGTTGCGGCTGAAAAATCAGCAAAAACTGTAAAATTTCGGTCCTGGAAATTTCATCTTCAAAAACTGAAAATGGGACAGACATTGGGACAATATGATTTTGCGATATTATTCGGGATTTTGACTCCCAGTACCTCAATATGGTTTCATACCATCATCAATTAACTGACTAATTGGTTTCTGGGCAAAAATTTCATCCAATCTGTCAAATTTGTGTTCAGATAATTTCATATTTGAAAATGGGACAGACTTTTGAAAATACACCTTTTCGTTTTGTTAAGCTTTCTGCTGTGGGTTTCTTCCGACCCAACTCAAACTTCCAGTACCTCAATCGTGTCATATGCCAACTATAGTTGACTTACTAATTGGTTGCGGCTGAAAAAATTAGCCAAATTTGTAAAATTTCGGTCCTGGAAATTTCATCTTCAAAAACTGAAAATGGGACAGACATTGGGACGATATGATTTTGCAATTTTATTCCGGATTTTGACTCCCAATTCCTCAATTTGGTTTCATACCATCATCAATTAACTGACTAATTGGTTTCTGGGCAAAAATTTCATCTAATCTGTCAAATGTGTGTTCAGAAAATTTCATATTTGAAAATGGGACAGACTTTTGAAAATACAACTTTTCGTTTTGTTTAGCTTTCTGCTCTAGGCTTCCTCCTATTAATATAAGTAACGCTATGTTACATTTTGTAACGCTATGTAGTAGTAATGTTACATTTTGTTGTTACTGTTTTCATGTTTTCAGATTAGTGGTTACTCAAAAGGTCACCAGTTTAACAAGAACCTTCCACTGGACCAGCAAATGAGACACGCCTGGAACGCTTTTAAAGCTAACGGTCACTGGTAAGTGCTCTAAAGTCTAAACTAGTAGTAATACTAAACTAGAATAACTGAACTAGTAGTAATACTAAACTAGAATAACTAAACTAGTAGTATACTAGTAATACAATAGCGCTCTCACCTAATATCACTACTATTAATAAATACATTAAAGGAGTGAAGGAGTGTCATTAGATTAAGATGGGGATGCCCTGATAGTTGTTAATGCTACAAACAAGTGCCTCGATGTTACAGGTACCTCCTAGGTCCTGATAGTTGGTAATGCTACAAACAACTGCCTCAATGTTACAGGTACCTCCTAGGTCCTGATAGTTGTTAATGCTACAAACAACTGCCTCAATGTTACAGGTACCTCCTAGGTCCTGATAGTTGTTAATGCTACAAACAACTGCCTCAATGTTACAGGTACCTCCTAGGTCCTGATAGTTGTTAATGCTACAAACAACTGCCTCAATGTTACAGGTACCTCCTAGGTCCCGATAGTTGTTAATGCTACAAACAACTGCCTCAATGTTACAGGTACCTCCTAGGTCCTGATAGTTGTTAATGCTACAAACAACTGCCTCAATGTTACAGGTACCTCCTAGGTCCTGATAGTTGTTAATGCTACAAACAACTGCCTCAATGTTACAGGTACCTCCTAGGTCCTGATAGTTGTTAATGCTACAAACAACTGCCTCAATGTTACAGGTACCTCCTAGGTCTTGATAGTTGTTGATGCTACAAACAACTGCCTCAATGTTACAGGTACCTCCTAGCTCCTGATAGTTGTTAATGCTACAAACAACTGCCTCAATGTTACAGGTACCTCCTAGGTCCTGATAGTTGTTAATGCTACAAACAACTGCCTCAATGTTACAGGTACCTCCTAGGTCCTGATAGTTGTTAATGCTACAAACAACTGCCTCAATGTTACAGGTACCTCCTAGGTCCTGATAGTTGTTATAATGGTATAAACTGCCTCAATGTTACAGGTACCTCCTAGGACCTGATAGTTGTTAATGCTACAAACAACTGCCTCAATGTTACAGGTACCTCCTAGGTCCTGATAGTTGTTAATGCTACAAACAACTGCCTCAATGTTACAGGTACCTCCTAGGTCCTGATAGTTGTTAATGCTACAAACAACTGCCTCAATGTTACAGGTACCTCCTAGGTCCTGATAGTTGTTAATGCTACAAACAACTGCCTCAATGTTACAGGTAGCTCCTAGGTCCTGATAGTTGTTAATGCTACAAACAACTGCCTCAATGTTACAGGTACCTCCTAGGTCCTGATAGTTGTTAATGCTACAAACAACTGCCTCAATGTTATAGGTACCTCCTAGGTCCTGATAGTTGTTAATGCTACAAACAACTGCCTCAATGTTACAGGTACCTCCTAGGTCCTGATAGTTGTTAATGCTACAAACAACTGCCTCAATGTTACTGGTACCTCCTAGGTCCTGATAGTTGTTAATGCTACAAACAACTGCCTCAATGTTACAGGTACCTCCTAGGTCCTGATAGTTGTTAATGCTACAAACAACTGCCTCAATGTTACTGGTACCTCCTAGGTCCTGATAGTTGTTGATGCTACAAACAACTGCCTCAATGTTACAGGTACCTCCTAGGTCCTGATAGTTGTTAATGCTACAAACAACTGCCTCAATGTTACAGGTACCTCCTAGGTCCTGATAGTTGTTAATGCTACAAACAACTGCCTCAATGTTACAGGTACCTCCTAGGTCCTGATAGTTGTTAATGCTACAAACAACTGCCTCAATGTTATAGGTACCTATTAGGTCCTGATAGTTGTTAATGCTACAAACAACTGCCTCAATGTTACAGGTACCTCCTAGGTCCTGATAGTTGTTAATGCTACAAACAACTGCCTCAATGTTACAGGTACCTCCTAGGTCCTGATAGTTGTTAATGCTACAAACAACTGCCTCAATGTTACAGGTACCTCCTAGGTCCTGATAGTTGTTAATGCTACAAACAACTGCCTCAATGTTACAGTTACCTCCTAGGTCCTGATAGTTGTTAATGCTACAAACAACGGCCTCAATGTTACAGGTACCTCCTAGGTCCTGATAGTTGTTGATGCTACAAACAACTGCCTCAATGTTACAGGTACCTCCTAGGTCCTGATAGTTGTTGATGCTACAAACAACTGCCTCAATGTTACAGGTACCTCCTAGGTCCTGATAGTTGTTAATGCTACAAACAACTGCCTCAATGTTACAGGTACCTCCTAGGTCCTGATAGTTGTTAATGCTACAAACAACTGCCTCAATGTTACAGGTACCTCCTAGGTCCTGATAGTTGTTAATGCTACAAACAACTGCCTCAATGTTACAGGTACCTCCTAGGACCTGATAGTTGTTAATGCTACAAACAACTGCCTCAATGTTACAGGTACCTCCTAGGTCCTGATAGTTGTTAATGCTACAAACAACTGCCTCAATGTTACAGGTACCTCCTAGGTCCTGATAGTTGTTAATGCTACAAACAACTGCCTCAATGTTACAGGTACCTCCTAGGTCCTGATAGTTGTTAATGCTACAAACAACTGCCTCAATGTTACAGGTACCTCCTAGGTCCTGATAGTTGTTAATGCTACAAACAACTGCCTCAATGTTACAGGTACCTCCTAGGTCCTGATAGTTGTTAATGCTACAAACAACGGCCTCAATGTTACAGGTACCTCCTAGGTCCTGATAGTTGTTAATGCTACAAACAACTGCCTCAATGTTATAGGTACCTCCTAGATCCTGATAGTTGTTAATGCTACAAACAACTGCCTCAATGTTATAGGTACCTCCTAGGTCCTGATAGTTGTTAATGCTACAAACAACTGCCTCAATGTTACAGGTACCTCCTAGGTCCTGATAGTTGTTATAATGGTATAAACTGCCTCAATGTTACAGGTACCTCCTAGGACCTGATAGTTGTTAATGCTACAAACAACTGCCTCAATGTTACAGGTACCTCCTAGGTCCTGATAGTTGGTAATGCTACAAACAACTGCCTCAATGTTACAGGTACCTCCTAGGTCCTGATAGTTGTTAATGCTACAAACAACTGCCTCAATGTTACAGGTACCTCCTAGGTCCTGATAGTTGTTAATGCTACAAACAACTGCCTCAATGTTACAGGTAGCTCCTAGGTCCTGATAGTTGTTAATGCTACAAACAACTGCCTCAATGTTACAGGTACCTCCTAGGTCCTGATAGTTGTTAATGCTACAAACAACTGCCTCAATGTTATAGATACCTCCTAGGTCCTGATAGTTGTTAATGCTACAAACAACTGCCTCAATGTTACAGGTACCTCCTAGGTCCTGATAGTTGTTAATGCTACAAACAACTGCCTCAATGTTACTGGTACCTCCTAGGTCCTGATAGTTGTTAATGCTACAAACAACTGCCTCAATGTTACAGGTACCTCCTAGGTCCTGATAGTTGTTAATGCTACAAACAACTGCCTCAATGTTATAGG